GGTGTCTCCCTCGCTTCCTCACTGCTGTCGTAGTGTCGTGGTGGGGTACTGGTGGATGATGGAAAGAACGTCAGACCACGGATGAGGATAAAGAGTGGTGGAAGAAAGCTAACAGCGGTGGCGAGCTTTTAGCGTTGTTACGCGATGTGTGGCCACATCGATGGGTAGCAAGTTGTGACATGACTGACAATCACTCTTTGCTACACGTGTAGCGTACAGCAGTAAGCGAGAGGGGGTCCGGGTTTGCCGACCCCTATTAGAGCGTCACGAGGGACTACTATGGTCGCTAGCTACGGCAATTTGTCGGGGTGCAGTGGTGCCTCGTGACAGGGCATGTCGCTAAACACAGATGCAATAACCCTAACCGTAACCCTATGTCGCCAAACCGGGCCCGCCACTGGTGTACCATAGACTGACTCTCTGTCCCGCTCCCGCTCGCTCGCTCGCCGGTTCGTGTTTATTTTACTACCGTGGTTGGTCCGTCGCCAACCCAAAACTTACTCATGATTTGGTGGTGTTGTTGCAACCAACAAACAGAGAGCGGAACCGTGAGCACGCGAAGAGGAGCCGAGTGAGAAAGAAGTTTCTTCTCGACTCCCTTCAACGTAGCGTGGACGCTATTCAGGTGAACAGGCCGTCTGCCCATGCCACGGGCTTGCTTGTGCTGCTGTAGTCTTTTGCTGTTAAACGCGCCGCCAGAGCGAGAGCCATGACGTGTTTGTGATGCGGCAAAACGAATCGATCGCAAAGCATGGGGTGGTTGGATTGTGCTGGTTTTGTCATCTGTTTTCTGGTGCTGGTGTCTCTAGATGTTGCTCCCCTGCGTGTCGTTGGTGAGGTGGTGCTCAGGCGCAGAGGCGGTGCTCAAGCGGCGGGCCGGCCACCAAAGGGACGGAACCATTTCCTGTCGCGGTTTCGCTTGTACTGTTGCAGTCGTTTTACCTTCTGCCTCCTCCCCTTACCCTTTGGTTGTCTGGGTGTGGTTTAGTCCTTGGCGCATCTGGTTACCACCGTACCGTGTATTTTTTCCGTATTTTTTTTATGGAATGTGGTTGTTTCTCCCTCTCTCAGACGGAAAACGAATCCTTGAAGGGGTCTATCGTTGGGTCCCTTGGAGAGCGAGGCAGGGAGCTGGTGGCAAAGTGCATGCCGGCGGACACGGGGGGTTCGTTGGTCACGGCCAACAACAAGCAGGCGACTAAGGCAAGCAAACCAAGCCAGCCACCGGGCAATGCACATGCTTCGTCGATTCCGTGATTGCTGTACTACTACATGTACTTCCAAGTTTTGTCTTACCTGAAGGAAAATGGCATAGAAGAGAGTTTAAGCTACAAGACAAAAATCAATTGTGCTTCCTTCGATTGACACGATTAATACGTCACACTTTTGCCGTCACCACACTATACGTGCACGTTTCGCATGACACTCTACGTACCGAACGTGTTGTCATTCGCATGGTATGATTCAGACAAGATTTCAGACAAGATTCCAGGTTTCATGTGTGCTATCAAAAGGTGTGTTTGGCGTCAATTCTGTGTGTGTTCAGTTCCCCCTTCCCCTGTTCCACTTGTATGCTACAGATACTGGACGATCCTGACTATTCGTTGGTGAAGGCGTTACAGACGGCCCAGCAGAACTTCGTCATCACCGACGCCTCCTTACCAGACAATCCCATCGTTTTCGCAAGCGGCGGCTTCCTCGCGGTACGTACGTAAGGTTACCCTTGAGAAGTAAAAAATAGTGGATTAAGTGTGCGGCGTTGTATGATGAGGTGCGTACAAGCAGCTTCTCGAGAGTTTGGAGTTTGGGGTCTTCGTTTTTTATTTTTGGTAGCGTAATAACTACCAGTAGACAGCAGATGGCGCTTGTCCAAAGCGCGCGGTGAGTTGTGTAGCACAGGCTAAAGACATTGCGGGTGTTGTATTGTTGAGGGTGCTGTTGGGCAGGGCTGTACACATGGCACAGGTTTTCAAGTATTTTTTTGCGTGGCTGTTTGATGCGACTGCACACTCAGCTTGTAGGCACCGGTAGCAGACACCTGTTACAGTGTCCGTGCCAAGCGTGCCGAAGGCCATATACCCAATCGACAAACCTAACGTGGCGTGGTGTCGTGTGCTTGCCGTCGTCGACCTTGTCCATCGATCCCGCAGCTAACGAGGTACAAGCTTGCCGAGGTGTTGGGACGAAACTGCCGCTTCTTGCAAGGCGCGGAGACGGACCCGAGGGCAGTCGACAAAATTAGAAAGGTATGCAATATGCATGTGCCCCGTGGAACATACACGTCAGTAGCCTTCGGCGGGTTTTTCTTTTTTGTGAACACGTTGAATACAGGATGCAATCGGAGAAGTTGGGTTATGGGGGTGGGGAGTAGGGTCTGCCTACCCCCTCCCTGTTCTATTTCCCCATAAACCTAGTTTCTCGAATATCTCGCGAAGGCGGTTCCAGTGTTAACGTCACGTGTGCTAGAGACCAACAGAGTCAACAATGAAAGCGAGCGATAGGAAATCTATCCGTAATGAGCTTTTCGTGTTTATTCGTGCCGGTAAAGGGTGGTGCTTCAACAGAGGGCAGCGTTTGTACCGTGTTGTTTGGTGTGGTCAGTCAATGCTACCTTCATGGCCGCAAGAGCAACCAGCGTCTTGTGCAAACGCGTTTTGGAGACAGACGAGTCTGTGCTGTGCTTTGCTGTGCAGTACGGTTCTGTCGGCGGTGTTGCCGCTCGACAGGGAGCACGTGCAACCGACACGTTTGCTGTGATGCTTACCGTGCCGCAGGTTTCACGTGATTGTTGTTGGTCCCTCGCTCTTGAGGGCGTGCTTGGAGATGGCAACAAAAGCAGATACCGACTTGCACAACTGACGCATGGTCGCGTGTACCATAGTTGGCGCTCACATGTGTACCGCATAAGGTATCCGCTTTCTTTTTTTGTTTCCGGCAGGTTGCACCGCCGACAGGCTAGTTTGAATCAAACCCTGTACTGCTGAAATTGTTTTCCCGTCTTGGTCGAACGGTTCGACAGGCGATCGACGAGGGATACGACACGAGCGTGTGCCTCCTCAACTACAGGGCCGACGGCACGACTTTCTGGAACCAGTTCTTTGTGGCCTCGCTGAGAGACGGCAAGGGCAACACCGTCAACTATGTCGGCGTCCAGTGCAAGGTGGGAACAGAGAGTATGTACCGTAGGCGTATACATGCACCTCTTGCAGCATTCGAGTGTGTTCGTGTGGTTTGGTGTAGTGGCAAGACACTGCTTTCCGCACGTGGTGTAGGCAGGCTGACAAGGATTGCAAGGAGGATAGGAATGCCGCCTGATGCTTTTCCCCGTGCGATGTGTCCGTCCGCACTACGTCCGATATTTTTCTGTCGCCACCCCCCCAGGTCGGAGATGACTACGCCAAGATTGTAGTTAACGAGCAGAACAGACAATTCGCAGGCCAGTCCAAGACTCGAACGAGGCCTTTACCCTCGTTATCTCCGGACACGGGGGGCGCCTCCGCCGCCGCCGCCGCCGCCGCCGCCCCTCCCACAGCAACAGAAGCAGACGCAGCAGGGAAGAAGAGCTCAGGGGTCTAGAGTAGGACGCTGATTTTTGTGGCTGAACGTTTGCATAGCGGTTACATTGCATCTGTGATTCCCGTGGGTTGTTTTTCGTCCGGTTGAGATGTTGGCTTGGATGGCCGCCAGTGGGCAGCTCTTCGTTTTTGTAGAGTTTTGTTTTACATTGTTGGGGGTATTTCGATTGGATAGAACCGAAAACGGGACAACATTAGGTAGAGAGTTGCGGCATGTTTTTTTCTGGTTGTTCTTGTGTGTTGCGCGCCACGACTTGGTGTGCCGCGCTATTCTTGTTTCGTCTTGCTACCGCTGCTCCCTTTCTCTCTCAATCTCTTCTACTTTGCGCACAGGCGCATCGTCTTGTGCTATTGCGACTTCTCTACGGCTCGAGATGCTTCGCCGAACACCTTGTGTGGCTTTCTGAGAAGGCCAAGCAAGGCCCTGCGCCCCACGCCGCGGACGAGCCGTCTGTATCATATGTCTCCCGTGCTGCTGTATCCATAATTGCACCTCATCTTTTCGTGACCGGGGCGGGACTGGAGTACGTCCATACTTTTAGAGTTTTTTCTTTCTTCGTGATCCAAGTGAGATACGTACATAGCAAGGCGCTCAGATTTGACTGAACAGAAAGAATGCGTCGGGTGTTTGGAGGCAAAAAGGTGAAGCCATTTTGCCCGATTCATCCGACGAATCGTCGACTGTTTTTTCAACAAAATATACTACAAAAACATCCTCCGTTCACTTGGTGGCGTGCCAAGGGTCACGCGGTCAGGAGTTTTTCCCTTCTCGAAGTACTGTAGTTCCATGGGTTTTTACCTGCGCGAGGGGGTGGGCAGCATACCGAAAATGCGCTCGCTGGGGGGGGGGGGCAGANCTTATGTACACGCTCGTTTTCGGTGTGTGTGTGGCTCCCAAGCCATTTATATCCTGGCATCCAACAGGCCATGTGTCGACGTGAGCGTATGCCAGGGTGACTGATTGTGTTCTGGTGGAAGAAGAGCGGAATTGCTGTCGCTGTCGAAAGCAGTCAATCAAGAGGAGTGGGCGAACCAAGCGCTAAGTGACACTAAAGATGTCAACACCAGAGCCAAGCTATCTAAGGGTTCTCGAGCGAACGAAGGAGGCGCTGCTGTTGTGAATGACGTTGTATTGGCCCGCAATGCTATCTACGAGTCTTGGCCGCTCGTTGCGCATGCCGCAGCGCGGTATTCCCGCCGACACGCCATGGGTGTTTTTTTCGCCATGCCCCACGCCGAGCAAGGTCCAGTGAGAACCCGGCGTGCTCCGTCCCGGCTTTGTAGGGATGCGAGGNCCCCCCCCCCCCCCCCCCCCCACGCCATGCATGACGGTACGAAGCCTGCACAACGAACTTCTCGCATACCGTAGGGTTGCACCTTATGAGCTTCGCCATCCCTCAGGACCGATTTTCAAAGCTCGATTACTCGACGACCAGGAGCATCCCGAGTTCAAGTGATCCGTTTTCACAGAGCTCTCGACTAGATAGTTTGTTCCAACGTCACCCGCAATTCTCGGCGCCGTCACTGTTGTTCTTCTTGCCGAGAGTTCGAGCTTTGAAGTCTCCCCAGGGTGTGTGATACCGACCTCTTACTGTGCAACCTACCGTAGCCACATGTGAGACTCGCAACCAAGCACCACGTGAACGTGGTGGAGGGTCACACACAACAGAGACGCTTTGCTGATATTACAGCAGAGCAGAGCACGACATACACCCGACGGGTGAGTCCATTCGTCATTGCGGAATGTGTGACGATGGCCGCATGGTACCCTATTGTACCATCTGTCTTCGTAGCGTACTTGCAACAAACACGTGTTGTGTTGCCCTACCGCGCGGCACATAAGTTCCAGAAGTCTGGCGCGAAGTCACACACGCGCAGCAGGTTCCTTCGCGCCGATGATGACGTCCACGCTTGCCTCACACACCTTTGACGGTATATACCCCCCCCCGCCCTTCTATCAAACGACATCATTGGCCACCCTGCCTCACACATATTTGACGGCACAAATGCTCCCACCCGTGTATCAAACGACCTCGTTGCCTTCGCCAGGTGTGTCCGGATATATCAAACGAACGCCCCCGCAACCAAGACGCCTCGTCGTATCCGAGGGGTTAAATCAGCCTTCACAATGCTTCGTGATCACTTAAACGGATAGACGCCACGGGTACCAACCGATTTGCGACACTGCAGTTTCCGTCTCACTTTGTTCGAGTGCCCCCTCCCCACACAACCAAGACATCTCTAGCATCACTTCCCCTCGACAAATGTATGATGCTTCTTGGATGCCACTTTTCCCGCCCGGTTTCCCGAACACCGCGCGCCTCGGTGATCGATTGAAAACGGGCGGGCCGGTGTCAGCGGCCGTCACCGTCATCGTCTCCCTCCGGCTCTGGACATGCTGCAGAAAAAAGGAGACGATACAGCAGCATTGCAATGCTGAAAAAGAAAGAGGCGATACAGCAGTATTGCAATGCTGAAAATTATGGAGACGAAACAGGAGTATCTCAATATCACTACTTTGAGACGGGAGTGTTTTGAGACAAAACATCGACATCTCGGAGACGCAAGGCCTGCTGTCTCGATAGGGAAGAGCACAAGCTGAGACAGCAGTGATATTTTCCCCCTGTACAGGCAGTAGGCACAACGAGACATTCCCGCGAATGCTTGGCAGCGTTTAGGGAACGTGGGTGGCCTCGCCTTGGAACATGGCATGTGAACCACACCAGGACAACCGAACACAAGCAACGCCGCTAACATTTGTTGTGCATGAAAATTCACCTCCTTTCAGCGTTCAGCTGCAATGGACAACGCAAGTGGTAGCGAATGGGGTTCTTTCCAGTCAGCGTTGACAAACATGTCCGACGCAACCCTAGCTAAGCACACAAGGTCTGCTGCAACTCCACCGCTTACCTAGAGACTGAGAAATCAGCAAAAGCGGAAGATCTCCCAACAAGGGCAACGCTGGCTCCGATTCTACATCGAAAGTGATGTCCGGCAATGGCACCTGGCCGTTGCAGCAGTGGTGAACATGAGGGAAGACGAGCGAGCAGGGGGCTTGTCAGGGACAGCTGCATTTCTTATCTGTACCAGCCGCTGCCAAACGCCACAACGCCAAGGCCCGAGAATAGCAGCAACAATCAGTCGACCGCCCATCTGAACCAAAAAAACTCTTGTGCCGGGTTGATGCTGAACTTCATGTTAAGGTGTACAGCATATCTAACATGCTACAACCCAGCAGCTGAAAGTCAGCAGCTGACTTGTAGCATAGTGGATATGCTGCACATCCTGCTGACTTGTAGCATAGAAGATGTGCTGTACACCTTAACACTTTAGGACCGGAGGCGCGAGAGTTCGATATCGTTCTTTTGATGCGTGACAGTGCAACGTTCAGCCTACACAAACCGCTAGAAAACCGACGGATGAAAGGTTGACAGAGACAAGGTGAGTCTGTGATACAAGCAGTACAAGGCGATTCGCCGCACGGCGAGGGAAGTGGTCGTGTCGCATTGCTACGTGGTGAAGCGCGTTCACCTTGGCTGCGGTTGAGAGAAAGCCCCCGCGCTTGGCGTATCGCCCACCACTCCTCCTGTTGGGTACAAGCACGGGAAGATTCGCCTCATTACTGGTGAAACATTGACACTACGCCACGCGCCATGTTCAGGAGTCACGAGCAGGTGAGATCCCTCCTTTGCATGCCAAAATCCTATGCGGGTGAAGACCCGGCGCAAGTACCACTTGAGATTTCAGATCTTTGACTGTCATGTGCACAGCAGTCAAACGGAACATCACAGCAAGAAAACTCAAACATGCGCCCAGCGCTGAGATTCGTTCTGTAGCTTTTTTAACAGACGACGAACAATTGCACTGCTGTCTATCGGCCCGGATGCTCACGTCCCCTTGTCAGGAAAATGACTCATGCACCGCCGGATACCGCGTGCGAGAGCAATAACAAACCCAATGGGGGCATTCGATTCTCGGTGAAGAACGCCGTTCAGCTGGTTCCGTTGAACCTAATCCCGTATAGCCTTGCTTCCGTGGAAACTCCGGGAATCCCGTAGTGGTACAGCAGTTTTGCATCGCGGGAGGGAAAGGCGTGACCACCGATGTGTTGTGCAAATGTACGTCGACTGATGCAATACACAGAACTTTGTGACGGATGCTACCGTAGACGATGTAGTGAGACTGACCGCTCTCTCGCAGGCGTGGCCGATGTCACAGCCAAAGGTGGGGTTTTTCATCCGGTGCCGAAGCCGCCCGAAATACGCAGAAGTACAAATACATCTATGCACGACGAACGCGTTGAATCATGCGCCGTACGCACCGGAAAGAACAAAACTGTTCAACGCATCTAGTGTGTGTCTGGTACATATAGGTCTATTGCAGCAAGCTTCCCGTCTTTTGTGTACCGCGAGGCAGGTGTACAGCAGTAGACTGGAGTCTACTACATCCAAGTCATGGGATTTCCTTCGAGCTCTGGGGACGTTGCCATTGGGTATGTAAGAACACGTACAAGCTCCGCGCAATGCAAGAGGTCGTGCACAAACTCAGAGCAACAACAGATTCACACCCCCCGCCCAGCGGAGGAGGCGAGAGGGCTACAACAGCCTTCGAATGATGAATGATGAAACAGAGCCATAACCAGCACCCCAGCCTGCGGCACGACCGTACATGTGTCCGAAGTCTATATACCAAGAGGGAAATTGTTATTTGCTCTCACCGTGAGCCTGTTCGCGCGCAGCGAAGGCCTGCCTGCATGGCCACCCGCGTTACCCGGGGAGGTAGTGATCCCCATACCATGAGAATCCCAGGCCACGGCAGCACGCAACCGCAAGTGTGTGAGGAGATCAGACCCCCTGCGTTCCTGTGGCTGGAGCCTCGCTGAACTCTCGGCACGTCTCGGGTCTCGGGTCTCGCGCCTCAATACGCCGCATCGTAGTGGTAGTTGCGCCGCACCTCCTACCGGCCGGGCGACCGGGCGAGACGGAGAGACGGAGAGATGTTGGAGCTGCCACGGGCTTACGCTGTGCTCACACGCCCCGCTGATAGATGGTGGGAGATTGAGAGATGGGCAGCGTCGTGAGGAGAAGGATCATAGTGTCTGGTGGGAGAGAAACAGGTGGAAGGAGTGATGAACTTGCACACCGGGTGCGCAGCATCGGACACCAAGCTCCCGAGCCCTCCCACAACAAACGAACCAGTTTCACAACCAGGGTCCTGCTGCTTCTGATAATGTGAGTCGCGCTGGCTACTGTGGATGTCAGCCATGTGCGTTATTGCCATGGTCGTGCTGGAAAAGCTGGAGGTCTTCGAAACACGATTTCATATCTTTCTCTTTGCAGCGGCAGCGGGGCTTTGGGCCCTCTCCACCCGCGGTTGTGTAGCGGCCTTGAGGCTGATGGTTCACTGTTCCTCGTGGGAGCCTCTTTGCAGCACGCGATTACATATGCACTACAGCAGTACACAGAAGGAAAACTCCAGACACGCAGCACTCGGGTATGTACAAGTGGCAGAACACATACAGTGTCTCCAAGTATTCATGTAGTCCGACAGGTGCGAAGGGGGGATGGGAATGCGAGCCAATAATGGGCAAACTAGTATAGGCATGGCCGAGATCCTCCGCCAGTATACCAGCATACAACACGTGCGCGCATGTGATCGCCTAGACCATCTCTTCTGTCTTTCTAGGCGTCTTGCTCCAGGATCATTTGCTTTTTGCGAGTGATGTTTTTTTTTTTTTTTCTTAATATGACACAACGAGTCCATCTCTATCATAGAAAAGAGTCAGAGACAGATTAACAATGGAATCATAGCGTCAGAGAAAACTACCTGTGTGTCTACGATTTCCCAGACAGCATATAGGGACATCTCCCCTGTGGGTAACAGGCTCAACAAATCAGTTTGGTAGCTGTCTTGTGTGTCTCATATATGTTATGTTGTGGAATTTTTGTCTGCGAGTCTTTTTTTAATTGACGTTCCTCTTCGGGTTGAACCGTTCGGTCTGCTCGTGTATGATACGTCCCCGAAAGTTGGATGCCATCAAGCCAAGGAACAAGACATGATTACAGCCAGCTACATGGCATGCTGGTCGCCCCGGTGGTCTAGTGGGTAACCTCGCAGCCTACTGAGGGCCAGGTCATGGGTTCGAGTCCCGGCAGAGTGAGTTTTTTTCTCACGAAATAAATCCTGGTTTATAATGAAAGCGACGCGCTGCAAAGCTCGGTTAGTAAACCATAATCGACTTCGTAAGTCGCGAGGGAAGGGATTGCTGTACCCTTCTCGCGATAAAAATACGTCAGGCAGGAACCGCAGGAGGGGGTCCAGCCCCCCCGTCCTATGTGACCCCGGTTGGGTCGTCTAGCTAGTAGAAGAGGAGGATAGGGGCCAGAGGGGCAGACGACAGAGTTCAATGAAGGGAGAAAAAAACAAAATTGTAAAGGTCAGAACGAGTTTCACTCTGGAGAAAACAGCAGCAACAACAACGACAACGACCGGAGCTGAACCACAGATTTGGCTAAGCAACACGGTTGGAAACGGGGTGTCCTGCTGCGACAACCGGCTGTGCAGGCCAACAAGCAGACCCTCCACATCATACCACTTTTGGGCTCATACATGTACAGTCGTGGGCCCGGTTTAGCGGTCCATAGTGTCACGAAATTTTAAAACCGCTATTCAGGGCATCGCCGCTAGACCTCTTAAGCGGTCATTAACCGCTAAACCAGGAGGCTCAATACCGGTCATGACCCCGCTAAACCGGGATACAGTCCATTTTTGCCCTACAAGAGCAGCGTCGAAAGCTCATCTTGATAGGGCCATGTGTCTCATTGCAGCAGCCATACGAAGGTGCAGATGAAGTAACGAGTAATAGAGGGACAAAACGCCGCGCGTACATAAATTAGTGCCTTTTCATTCGCCAAACCACGAAGCTTATCCTCCCTTCTGGACTGTATGCCCCTCGTCAAGACTGGAACATCGTTTGCATCTCTGACGAAGTGAAGGTGATGAGACAACCTTGTGACAAGGCACTGGCAACCAACCAGCACGTGCTTGAGCGTCTCATTTCTGCCATGTATCGCGTATCGATCATTCTTAACACAACATCATCTCGCTGATGTTTGCCTTCCGCGCTGGTTGAGCGGGGCGCGCTACGAGGAACGCCACTTTTGCCTTGCGAAAATAATGTGCTGCTTCGCTTACGCCACACAACTCCGCGCTCTCCACGCTGGCCAAAATCTGATGATAGCTCCGAGTATGTATGGTGGCGGCGCCATCACCCCCCTGCCCTTGGAACCGTCAACTTGTGCCGCGGTATCTCACCCTAGCTCTAGGTCGTCGTCGGAGGGGTTAGGCCCCCGTCCATGTACGTACATACTGGACAATTTTCAACAAACTCGTCGTTCGCGTCCTTATGGAAAGCTTCGGCGATCTCTTCCTGTGCGCACTGTTTCTGAGTGCGCTACCTTCTGGTCAAGAAGCTTCAAAACCTCGAGCTTCTAGCCAAAGTAGAGCCGCGTGTGGGGCTGTTGTGTAGATGCAGCGGGAGTTGCTTCTTTCCGTGCGCCTGGTGCTAGAAAGCCACCTTCCACCTCTTGGCGCTTGGACGGATGTGAGACGCGAGGGGAACTCTGCAACTTCTTGGTTGCAAGTCGGTTGCATCTCGTTGTCATCCGGATCCTCCACCTCCCCACACATGCCGTGTATGCGGCCACCACAGCAACCTTTACAATCGTGCGCGCCGAGTGGACTCGGTGCCGCGCCTAGAAGCTTGCACAGTTCTCCGTCCACGCGCCGCATGGTGTGTGTATTATTAGCATCGACCGCGCTAACCGGCTGACCAATGGAAAGACGTCGTCGCCAGTCCCAGTGCGGTTGAAAACACGAAACACTTCTCTATGCCATTATCTGGGACCCGGTGAGGGGGCGGCATGGGGCAGGCAAAAGCTTTTCTCCGGATTAAGGACAGAAACGGTAGCAACAGAGGAAAACTGGTACCTTGCGCTCGAGTTCGTTTTGGAGTACTTTCACTATCCTCCTTGATGTCACCACTATGACTCTCATCGTCGTTTCTACAGCTAGCCCTGCGTCGTTTGGTGTGTGTGTGTCGTTGTGTCCTTTTTATGATGAGCATCGACCAGCTAATAGGCTGACCAATGTCTCTGTGCTGTGAGTATGTGCAAGCGAAGCGCGCACTTGGTCAAAAATTGAACCGATAACCGCTATTGGTGTCCGATAACATGTCCATTAACCGCTATTGAGGGCACGATCGGTTAAGCGGTTGTACAACCGCTAAACCGGAGTACAGCCGTGTCACAAGATTTATTAACCGCTATCCAGGGCATCCCGTTAAACAGGGAACCGCTAAACCGGGTCCACGACTGTACACAACATGGCCGTCCGTGGAGAGCAAATGCACAAGGGGGGCGCGAGATAGAATGCCGGAACGGAGCACTTTGATTTACCTGCCATTTAGAGATTGTTGGCGCTACGAGTGCATTCAGTACCGTATCGTGCCCCATGTCCGCTGCGATTCTGGCCAGTGTCCCACATGTCGGAAATAATGCACAGGGATGGGAGGGGGCACAAAGGTGAAGGGCGAGATTAACAGAAGCAACCCCGCAAGTGTTAGTTCTCTCCACTGTCTACGGCGGTACCCTCCGAATCGTGCGTCATGTTTCTCTCGAAAGAAGATTGCCACGACCTCGGAAAGAACGCCACCAGCCTTTGAATCTGTTCTCGGGTGCTGTCTCGTAGTCCTTACTGCCCCCCCCCCCCCCCCCCCCCCCCCCCCCCCCCCCCCCCCCCCCCCCCCCCCCCCC